CCAGAGAGATACTTTCAGGTTATCTGCTATAAGCCTTTATTGCTCTGTTAACTAGGGAAGTTGAAAATATGTTGAACAAGTCCTCGGAAATTCCCCATATTACAGAACAGCGTCATAGGTTATGGAAATTACAAATACCCCCTTGAAGTTTCTTATTTCCTCAGATTCAACTGTCTAATTGTAGTACGGATAATTTTTTTTGGGGGCGTGAGGTTTTCTCTGAAAAATGTTCTCATGAAGGGAAATTGGAAAAAAAATATTACTCCCTCCTACTTTCATTATTTGTCGTTTTGAAAGCAACACGCTAATTAAGAATTTTTGTTCTTGCCAATATTAACCCTATTTAATGGATGTTATGGAGAACTATGGAGATGGGATATGAAGAGACATTGTGCATTGATGGAGGGTTAAAAATGAAAAAATATGAACAAAATAGCCAAAACGACATTTATTTAATCAATGATCAATGATCCATTAAGTCAAAGTGACAAATAAAGAAAATAGGAGGGAGTAAAACATATAGGGTATTTTTGTAAATTCTTGATCTCTTTTTTCTTTTTCAAGTTAAAAATAGTCAAACCTCTGGGTTCCTTTTTTCTCGTAAAGATTCATAGAGTTACAAAACCACCCTTCAGATTTACCTTTACGAAAAAGTAATATAAACTTCCTCCGAGAAATTTGTATTTATCTATGTTCTCCAATCTCTTGACAAAGTAGAAACTTATAATATTAAGGGGGAATTTGTGATTTTTCTTTTAAAAAGTCTTCCTTCAATTGATACTAGATTAATCAATTTTGCCTTGTATCATTCTATTTACGCATAAAAAGAATTTGTGACCTTTTACAGCTGGATGCTTGGAGGCCTTATGTTTTACGGAAGTCGATATTGCTGGAGACAGGTCTCGCACAACTTCATCGACTTTGTTAAAAGATTTGTGTGTACAAGCATGCCAAGAGACGGGTATTGATTTTATCGACTGCCAAACTTCAAAGCATGAACCCGCTGAAGCCCAACACAGCCGATGTGCACGAAAAAACGGAAACCGACCCATTTTATTTGTTGAAAACTCATTGATGGGTTCACTTAGATTTGGAAATAAAATTCTTGCTGCAAAAACTGGAAGTCAACATGGGATGATTGTGGTCACTGGATCGTTGCACATTGTCTCAGCTGTTTTAGGTTTATTGGAAGGATAAATCTCATAATCTTTGTTATTTTTGTTTTTTCTAGTTTTGTATTCTTCGTTGATTTTAGTTTATTATGGGACACAGATGGAACGAAATAAGATGTCATAGTGCAATGTTTTTTAGACGATGACTGTAAATGTTGTCAGGGGATGTTCATGTTCTTGGCTATAATTGTGGAAAATAAAATCTTTGACACAGATGAATTTTACCTCTACTTTATAATTTATCTCATCTTTTTTTTTTTTTTTTTTTTTTTTTTTTTTTTTTTTTTTTTTTTTTTTTTTTTAATTATTCAAAACGATAGGGAATATTATAAATAAAAATGCACAAAAGTGCAAAAGTACATAGCCTTTAGCTGAAAACAACAGCCAATAGCTGAAAATTGGGAGGACAGATCATAAGACCGACCGCCTAGAACCCGACTAGCAACGCTAGAAAACCAACTAAAAAACAATACAAAAACAAATTCTACTGTTGAACGACCCCAAACGAGGTAATGTGGAACGACCTTAAATGAGGTAATGCCCGCACGCAGACGGGCTCCCAGGGGCCAACGACCCATACAAAAAACACGACCCTAAACAACTAAAAAACAACCTACGACAGAACAAGACAAGGAAACAAAAACACCAGCTAAAAAATAAAGGAAGCCCTTCCATGAAAATCGGACGGCCCGAACCAGCGGAGAACAATCAAAATCCAAGATTAGTCCAAGTCCAGAGGACGGCTTTCGAAACTGCCCCAAGGCCTATACAAAAGTCCAGCCCGAACACAAACCAAAACCCGGATCAACCCGCCTCAACTAGAGGGACATCCGCAACCGACCTCACTCTAGCACCCCTGAGCACGCCTAACACCACTAGCCGAGCTAAGGAACACCAGAACCCCTCCGACTAACACCACTAGCCGAAAAGGGGGACGACTTGGGCCCTCAACTCCGATACACCATCAGAGCCCCACCCCGCCTCTCAACCCATAGACCAGCCAATATCTCCTCTTACCACCTGCACCAGAGTGAGAAGAACCCCAAACGGGGTTATGCCGGAAAAAAATGGGACCGCCCGAAAGCCCTCCAATCGCACCAAATTATACAGAGACAGGAAAACAGATGCCGACGAGTTTCAGCACACCGCGGCAACATCAGAGGTCCGGGATTACAGAGGAGGGGCGGTGTCGAACGCGACCACCGACAGGCGCCGCACCGCCACCGAGGAAGGCGACGCGAACTAGAAGAGGGAGGCTCTAGGGTTTAGCTTTTCGGACGAGAGAAACGAGCGGGAGAGTGTAAACTTTTCCTCCTTATCATAGTGAATTGTGAAAAACACCGATAATATGTAGCAAATTACCAAAAAGAATATTACATTTTTTCCCCCCAAACAATAGATATTCTCATTAACACAAACCAATGTCAATACAAACAAATACAAACAATCCAAGGAAAAATCCTGCAATTGGGAGAACCACAAATGTGGCCTAGAGCAAGGAAACAAAAACGGAGCTAAGTACAAGAGGAAGGAAGTTACAATCAACTGAATCCTTTACTCTTGTCATACCAAGAAAGAAGAACAACGAAACGAAAAAGAACTAATAAAACAAAGACCAACTAAGCTAAAGGTACTGAAGCCTAGTCACCATAGCCTCCATGAAAGTCTTCCAACTGCATGGCTGCATGGACAATTAAGTGTGCAAGACTTCTAATTTTTTCAACCACCCAAACATTCCTGCATTTCCAAAGCCACCAGAGGATATAGGTGGACAATTAGAGTCGTGCCTCTGATGTGTCACTTCTACCAATCTCACAGACTTGTCACTACCATATTTTGAATGATTTATGGATCTATGGTCCAACCCAGTTGATTCGGGGCTAGCTTCCACACCTGTTTAATTTGATGGCAATGGAAAAGAACATGTTTAATTGATACTTCAGCTTCTCCACAAATTGTGCAGGTAACATCAAGCTCCATTCCTCTAGCTTGCAGATTAAGGCCAACAGGCAAGGCACCATTACAACATTTCCAAACAAAATGTTTTACTTTTCCATGAACCTTAAGTTTCTAGCTCTTGTCCCTAACTTTGGAGTCCCAAGCCATAGCATTGCTACCTTGTAGTTGATCCAGAAGAAGAAATTTTCCTGTGATAAGATGAGCATAAGTGGATTTAACTGAGAAGATACCTTTCTCATGCAAGTTCCAAGTCCTTCTGTTAAGCTGATTAGGATTGATAGTGATTATGCTGAGAATTGAGTCATTGATATCTGGGAAAAAGTACCCCTCACCTTGTGTTCATGCCAGTGGCAGCCATCAGGAGTCATCAAGTCTCTCACTCACCCAATGCTCCTGTCAATGCCTGCAAGGAGTTGAACTGGCCTACTAATGTGGTTAGGAATCCAGTGTTGGTCCCATATCCTTGTGTTGGTGCCATTCCTGACCTTCACTTGCATCCACTCTCTACAATCCGTTAGAATTGAGAGCCAGTTACTCCAAAGCCATGAAGAATTATGTTTTCCGTGGGCATAAGAAATTGAAGAATTGGAAAAAAAAAATATTTAGATTTTAAAACTCTACTAACCAGAGAGTCAAGCTGAGTCACCAATCTCCAGATTTGTTTGGCTATTAAGGCCACACTGAACATATGAACATCCTGAAAGCCTGATCCTCTATTTTTTTATTCAAAGTGAGCTTATCCCAAGCTGCCCAGTGGAACCCTTTCTGCAACTCAGTCCCTTTACACCACCAGAATTGATTTACAAACTCTATAGATCTCCTTACACAACTCCACTGGCAGAACAAAAACAGGACATGGCAAATACTAGTAAGGCATTTAGAACAAATTTTATGAGTACCTCCTTACCTGCTGTAGATAGCCATCTATTCTTCCAGCTTAATATTCTCTTTTTTCATCACAAAGAGATGTAATCAAATGACTCTCTTTTAGACCTACCAATACTTAGTGGGAGTCCAAGATACCTGGTAGAGATATGAACGTGGACCCTAGCCATGATATTGAAACATCAGTGCTGCATTTCCAAGGAGTTGTTTTTACTGAAAAAAATAAATAATTTAGTCATATTGACCTGTTGCCCTATAAAATACTGATAATGATGCAAAATATTAATGATTTTAAGGGCCTTGTGCTCATCTGCCTTACAGAACAATGAAGTGTCATCATCAAAAAATAAATGTGTAAGCAAAGGGCCATTCCTGGAAAATTTAATGCCTTTATAACCTCATTTTTCAGCTTCATCAGAAAATTTAGCAGACGAGAGTTCAGAAATAATAATGAACTGATAGGGGGATAGGGGATCCCCTGTCTGATTCCTCTTGCAGTCACAAATCCACTGACTTTGCCATTTAAGTTAAAGGAGAATGTTGGAAATTGAATACATGTCATAATCCATTTAACAAATAAAGGAGAAAATCCCATTCTGATCATAGTTAACTAGACAAATTTCCATTCCAAGCTATCAAAATAACTGAATTGTTGCATTGATAGGTTGAAAGTAAGAGGGCAAGCCAAAGTTCATCTAAGTAAAGTACCATCCTAAAATCAAATGGTGATAAGAGGAGTATACTAGTAGATATTATTATCTGAAACCATTTGCCCTATAAAATCAAGTGAGACAACTTACAAGTAAATATTACAACATTTTTCTTAAGAATCCATGTGTTGGCATGACGTGTAGGGACAACTATAGCATCTCTTTGCAACATGCTTCTCGAGAATTAGGTTAAAAACATAATAAAAAAATAAAAATAAATTAAAGTTTTTACGACATAAATTTTTAATCCATTTTCCTTTTCAGTCCCCTTACCCTCCCCCCCCTTCTGCAATCCCTAGCCCATGGTTTAGAAAGCTGGACCGGACCGGCTTGTCCAATCGGGAACCAATCAATTGACAAGTCCAGTTCGTTGGAATGAACCAATTGTCAGCGAACGGCAACTGGTGGAATCAGTTGGAACAGGCCAAAACCCGACTGGTTAGACCGGTTTGAACCAGTCTATTTTTTTTTTCAATTTTTAATATATTTAAATATATTTTTAATATAAATAACAAATACATATATATATATATATATATATATATATATATATATATATATGATGTAGTTCAAATGAGAACTAAGTCCTAGCGTGAGGACTGTGAGAACAACTATTTTTAATGGTATGTAGTGCTATGATTGATTGTATTTTGGTGCTATTTTTTACTAGAATGTATTTTATTAAAAATAGCAATATAATTTTATTAGCATTTGTGAGAATGATAACACCATACAATATTAAAAATAGCATAATACACAATTAAAAATAACATCAAATATGTTCTCACGGTTCTCACACCAGACTAGTTTTTATTT